CGCTTAACAGGGATTTTTCCTCTTTTATCTAAACTCGATGGTCAGCAGGTCAATTCAGTTAGTTTGAGCCTGACTAATTGGCACCCTTATGGATTTCCTTGTTAACTTTGTTTATGACTTGTCCTTGTGGATCGGAGGATATGATGAACTAGGGCTGTCTACTACTAGAACAAATCCAGATTCTTATATTCTGATCTGCTTCATATTCAGATGCAAATTCAATGGAATTCAGCCGATTCAGAACAAATCCAGTACCATGCATTAATAAAAAATCGACTAATTAAAGTGCATCCCATCAGACTATATAATATATTCTTAAGAAAATCAAAAGTACAACATTCCATTCAAATAAAACTCCGGGCCAGGTTCCATTTTTATCCTTTTTTCTGTGGTTTATCTCTTTTCATTATTTATTTTTTTTTTCTTTGGAAAAATCCTCACCCATGTGAAAATATATGTGACCCCCATTGCACCCTCTACAGATGCATTGTAAACTACACATTTGGAATATTGTGAGTGGAAACCACTGAAGAACTGGTAGAGATGTAGGACCATCTGAATTGTAATTAAGTGTATGTACGACAGCTTACAAGGGGTGTAATGCATTACTTTGTGTACTCTTCCGGTTTTAATTTTATATACCCATGATAAGTACAAGCTCTCAGTTCAGCTAGTTATACTTAAACCAGCTACACTAGTACTTAAATTCGTATCATAATATTTGCCAAAAGAAGAGGTTTATATACATGGTAACATTGATAAATTGAGGATCCATGATCTAAAGAGTTTGTCAAAAGCTTTAGTATTGTCTACCAACCTACCTGATGCAACCTCTTTTATTTGGACCTGGGACTGGCGGTGTAAGACAAAGCTTACACTGGTGGAGTTGATGATACATGTAGCCGACCCCATAAAGGCTTAGATAACTGCACTGAATAGGGATTATCCATATGAAACAGATCCATGCACGTCCAGTTGCTTAGTTTTAGTTGAATTGAATTTGAACCCAAGTAAAATCCAGGTCATCATGAGTCATGACCGGCCTGGTCCATTGTCTGCCCTTGATTGAAATCCAGAAGAAACAAAGTTTTCACATTTTTCTGAACAGGTTTCAAGATCAAGTACTTGTGAAAAAACCATGCATGTCAATATTGGCTAGCTGCAGCCAGATTCAGAATCCTGAATCCCTGAGAAATTCATTATTAGTACTTGTAAAGCCAAAGAATACACCCTTATAGCTTAGTGGTGTGAGTTGTGAAATGTGAATGAATGCTAGGTGGCTAGCTATCTTTTACCATTACCAGGGGTCACAGGGTGAAGGTGAATGGATGAATAGTAGCTAAGGATGAAAATATTGGACATGAGTCACATGACATTATTCCTTTGTTTTTGGGTTTACCTAAAAATGGAAGGTTGTGAATAAAAATCACTCCCCACCTAAATAATGCATACACAAAAAGAGGATTCAATGTATGGTAGTCTATCTTCCCTACTACCTGCTTTTTTGGCTCACCCTCACTTCATTTCACATACTCTACTCCAGCTTCTCTTCTACATGCCCACGTGGGCACTAGCAACAGTGCGTCTCAGCCCTCTCTTATTAAGCTCTTATCCACAACGACCACAGCTTCAGACGTGGAGGAGGAGGACCACATACTTAATTACTGACTCACCCCTCAACCAACAACACTCACTTCATCTTCTGGCTTCTGCGCGCTTTCGTATACGCGGCTTCCTCTCCCAGAAGCTGACGCCGTACGGTGTCAGGACAACTCTCCTTACTTCAATAATGCACACTTTAATGATCGGGATCCCACCTTTTATGTTTCATTCCTCACCAGTCCTCCCTCAAAAAGTCTTTCACCCATATTCTATATTCATATTGGTCCATTTTCAAACTCACTGATTACATAGGGGCACGCCCCTGCTTTCATCACTCCTTTAGGCTTTAGCTAATGGGATATTATATGGCCAACATTAGAACACTCCACGTGGCAATATCATGTGATAACATTATCCCTTCTCATGTGTCCACCCCTAGTTCTAGCCTCTAGGCAAGGTTCTAAATTTTGGGTAAGATACAAAAATATCTTCTCAAGTTTTTGATAATCATAAAACTTCCCTTCCATCTCTGACCTAAACGAATAATATTGGCTGAAGTATCAATTTTTATTTCTAAACACAGATTTTACCCTTCCATCACCGACCAATATGGAAAATGTCACTGAGCACCCATGCGGCAACAGCATTGGTGCCATCCCTTCTGTGCAGATAAAGGGGTTTTTGCATTATTCCTTCTCATTGGCCAAGTCGGACACATAACCAGATATGTTTCTTCTTCACGGGACCAGCCAGAAAACCCAATAACCACTTCCTTGTCCAATCCCAAAAAGAAGAAGCTCACTAGCCGTCTCTCCGACATTATAGATGCCGTCGCTGACTATAAGATTCCTCTTGAACTCGATGGCCAAGTGAATAAAATCTAAATCCCTATTTCCTCTTCCACGTCCATATTATCCTAGTTCTCTGATGTCTCACGGAACGACTAACTAGTTGAATTCATAATCACCCACATTAAGGAAGGAGAGAAATATGTGGAGCACGAACTCCCTTTATACGTGTCCACTTGAGGTCATGCTTACCATAAATAGTCTACAGACTCTAAATAGATTAAAGCAGTAAAGTGCAAGCACGATTTGAGAGTTCATATCAATTAATTTGTGTTTTTATAGGCTTAAAAGTAATGGTCATATATTATTATTAGGGCTATTCACGGGTCGGGTTGAGTCGGTTTACTGAGATTTTTCCAATCGACCCGACCTGGTCGGATTACCTGAAATTGAAACTAAAATCGACCCTGTGTTAAGCAAAATTGACCTGGTCAGTTTGAATCGGGTTGGGTTGGTTTCGGCTCTAAGTTCAACCATGGTAATAAATTGGTAGATTGGAGAAAGAAGGCTGAAATTTGATGTAAAAAATGACACATAATTCTATTAGAGAAAGAATACTGAAATTGGTAGGGGGGCGGACCAAGTTAGAATAGAAGTTATCAAGAAAATAGAAAGTCAAACTGTATTAGAGAAAAGAGACTGAAATTTGTATATTTTAAGAAACCTTCTAATCTAAGTAAAAAATGACACCTAATTCTAATTATAATTGGTTGCCTATTTGGTGTAAAAGGCCATAAAAACTAGGATCCTTTGATTCTTTTCTTTAAATTTTTCCAAAAAAATTCCTTGTCTAGTTGTCTTACAATACTTGTCATTAATGTCATTCCTAACTAGAAGACTAGAAATTAAGTTAGGTTGTAACTAGGATAGAGACAACTTAGTTAAGTAGGAACTAAGTAGGTTGTAACTACTAACTACTAAGTCGATTCGATTCGGGTTGATTTCGGTTTTTATATATGAAAACCGAAACTGACCCGAACCATCGGTTTATGATTTTTTACAGCCCAAAACCGACCGATGCTGAAGAAAACCTGGCCGATTCAGGTTGGGTCAGTCCGGATTGGTCGATTTGGTCGGGTTGGGTCTTCTTATGAACAACCCTAATTATTATTGTTTTTCCAACTCTGAAAGATAATGGAGTAACTTAGTCCATATTTCAATTTTTAAACATATGCCATGATCCTTGTTCATCTCTCTCTCTCTGCAAATAACTCTTGCCTATTAGATGTGTAATATCCGCATTTAGAACTCTCTTTGATGTGAAATGAGGGAAATTGGAAGATGTTGCTACGATTGAGGGCAAATGTGATATTTTATGATTTTATTAAATGACGTCTTAAAGGTAATTTCATAAATATATATACTTTTCGTCTAACTTAATGACAAAAGGGAGGTTTTTGTCGAATTTCTCAGAAGTTCAGACAAGGTATTTATTACATTAAAACTATTGAGGAGGTTTTTATGATTGTCATAAACTTTAAACTTTAAAAAAAAGTTTTTGTATTTTATTCTTAAAATTTTTTTTCCTCAAATTGATAAGAGGGTTGGTATAAGGCATATCTACCTCCCGAAACATGTTGAACCCCAAAATGGTTGCCATAGGGGTGTATTGAAGGGTCGCCGATCGACTGATGCGTTTGTTGTAAAATTTTAATGCTTCACTTTAGGTCTGTTAATAATTAGGCTGATTCGGGTATGGTTTGGAACTGGCTTTACACATTATTGGTTCAGGACCAGGTCCACCATCGAGGATTGACATCCGTTTTCAATTTCAACTCGGTTAAGCTGGACATGACTGTAGAGCGCAGAGGTTATCGAGATAGACAGATAGCTTTTTGGTGAAGAAGCAAATAGATAGTCTAGCTTTAGGTGGCCATGTACTACTTGAGAAACAACTTTTCTATTAAAATTACATAGGGGAGTAGGCTGGGTCTGCGGACAATGAAGCCCTAGTTGTAGGTTAACTGCCACCTATTACATGTCAGAAAATCATTAATCCCATTCCTCAGCTCAGGACTCGGTGTGTCTACTCTATACTCTATACCAAAAGCCAACATAATCAAATGACTGTTATCCATCATTTGAGCTTTGCATTTTTCAGTGTCTAAGGACTATCATTGGACTTTTATCCACGCACTACACAGCTACGGGTTCATTTGGTTAGAAAGAATAGGGGTTTAGAATAGAATTAGAATGCTACATTCTAATTTCAATCATGTGGTTGGACGGAATCTGTATCTGATTTTCCATTTTTTCGTGAAATGGTATTATCTAATTTGTGGAATTGGACATTTCCTCTCCCTCGTTTGGGAATGAGAATTTAATTCCAATTAATTCTATTTCTAATTCCCATTTAAACCAAATAAGCGGAATAAATCATTGCAATTCTAATTCTAAGAGATTTTGATTTCAATTCCAATTCAATTGTGGATCAAACAAATTAATCCTAAGTTTTGGGACTGAGGACTATAACACCAGATCCAACATCTATCTAAACTTCTTCTTCTTCAAATATATCAAGTATGGGAATAGATTTGCCGGCAAATAGAGTTAACAACCTTCCACATTGTGGAATTTTCGGCAATTCACAAAATTAAAGTAATGTAAATATACAAATTATAAAAGTCACCGACAAAAGAAAAGAAAATTACTAATACTCATCAAATTGACGAGCTCTGTTTTTTTTTTTTTTTTTTCCAAGTCAGATCTACACAGGGAGAATTCAAAATAATAAACAAAGAAGGAAATATATTAATATACACCATGAGATGCCAATCCACAGTGAACTAAAAGGTCCTGTGGCACACTGTATAAAAGGACATCACATCTATACGGTTTTCTGTAGACAATAGAAGTACGATCTGTATATGGTCGTTAATCCAAGGGCAATAAGTTTATGTACGGTCCAGTCAACGGGCGATGTCTGACTTGGTTGGGTATCCTAACTGTTGCTCCATCTCCCAGCTTAGCTTGGATGCGACTCCACAGTGCTTGGGTACATAGTCCTGCCATCCAAAATTACAAGATCACCCTTGTGAGAAAGCATGAGGTGGTGGACCCCAGTGTGGTTGTTGAGGGGGATTGATCATGTCCCTAAAAGGAACGATATAAAAAGAAAGGAGAGGAGAAAGCGACCCCAGAGGCCTGGACGCTTAGATGGATTTCAACCACGTGTCAGAAGCCAACATGGAGGGAGGGAATCAAGGCTCATCATTTGATAGGACCCAATCCCATCCAAGGAGACTCATCATGTGAATTGTGGAAATCTCCCTCCGGCTTCCGCCTCTTGGATAGATGGTCCACGCGGAACAGTAACTGAATGAGAGACACGTGTATTGATATAGTGGGACCCAGGGTATTATTGTACCTCAAGTTTGCACATAAGTTCATGGGCAGTCTGCGCGGAGACAATAATGTGACGTGCAGCGGGTGTAATGAAACCCTCGTCCACAGCCTTGTCTATGAAAGATAAGAGTGAATTGTAGTAGCCGTCAACGTTCAACAAGCCCACCTGCTCCAACCCCAACATTTTTCACTGGAATTTTATTTTCCCGGACAAAATTCGAATAGTAGCGAGATTTTTAACTTTATTTATTCAGTAAAAACAATGATGCAGTAAAAAGGAAAAGGAAGATACCGGCTTATCATGGATTCCCAACTGAGCCCAGGTTATCACTTCAAGGAGCTCTTCTAAGGTTCCGTAGCCCCCTGAATTCACAAAAACCCAATTGACTGTATCTTAACTAATTTAACTTCTTTAATCATGATTCATCAAAACTAATAAATTGGTTAAAATAATATCGATATTTGGCCGTTATTGACGGTTACCTTCTTTGATGCCACCAGAAGTATTTCTCAAAAATAAAAAACGAAAATCATTTGGTCCTTATTAATTATAAAATGGGAAAAATCTGTGCATACATACCTACATAGAGAGAAAGAGAGAGAGTTGTGGTGGGGTACCTGGTAAGGCAATGAAAGCATCGGCTTGGCGAGCCATTTCAGCTTTTCTTTGATGCATTCCAGAGACAGCTCTCACTTCTCCAACTGTTACCCCAGTTATCTAACAATACATTTTTGTCTTTTCAGAATTTTACAAGATATATAGGATCGGATTTATGAAGCCAAATTTTTCAGGAGCAGATTTAACTACCTCTCTGAGAGTCTTGGGGATTACTCTGCAAAACAAAATTACGAGAAGAAGCATATTAATCAAAAGGAAGGAGGAGAGAGAGAGAGAGAGAGAGAGAGAGAGAGAGAGTACCCGATTACATGGCGACCACCGTCATACACAGCTTGGGAGATGAGACCCATCAGACCAACGCTACCTCCCCCATAAACCAAGTCGATGTTCCTTTCAACCTACGATTCAATAATTCAAAAGAAATAAAGAGAAAAAGGAACCCATCAATTTCAACATATTATAAAGGCAACAGAGCAACAATTCTGTATTAAATCAAAAGAAAATTAATTCTGTAGGAAACAGAAAATAAATAATACTAGTTTTTCTTTAATATCGACATTTCTTTAACTTTTGATGTAATTGGTGCATTTCTTAATATTCATTCTTTCAAGAGAGAGAGAGAGAAACAGAGAGACAGAGAGGAATGTCTTCAGTGAAGTATTCACGTTGAATCTGGCTAAACTTCAGTACCATCGATTTTATTCACAAGAGAGTACAGCAAGCAACTTTTAGTTCCACATTAAAGACAAAAGAAGATGGAAATAAGCAACAGGCTGTGGGAACTTTTTTTCCATAATTAGTAAAATCCTCAACAGAATTGCGTTTCAGTAGTAGCACAAATAAATCAAACTAAGAAAAGCTTTAACTCATCAAAAATTAAAACCACTATCAAAAGACAAAGTTTTCCGAAAAGAAGCACACAGTAGAGAACTTGTTGAGTGAATTCTCCTCCACTCATCAAGAACCAAAGGCAAAAGCTAGAAGGGAACAAGAAAGGCATATCCCCCCCCCCCCCCTCTCTCTTTCTCTCTCTCTCTCGATCTCAGAGAGTGTGGAGTAGTACAGTACCAGTTCATTCCCAAGCTGAATTGCTGCAAGCTGGTAGCTGGGTTTCTTGCCGGGGCTGCTCCCGCAGAAGACGCAGATACGTTTGAACCTGGATTTCATTGAAGGTTGGCGTTGCTGTTGGTTTTCCATAATAAGAAAGCCTTGGCCACCAAATACTCTTCCCCAAATGGGCTCTCGAGTTTGTGTGTTTGGCGTTGGCGTATGTGTTTGCTATGTACACAGTAGTCCACCACTCCACTCCTCCAAAGCTAGCTAGGATCAAACGAGCAGGGGGTTATGTCATGGGTGTCTTTTATAAATCAAATCAAGGTCCCACTCTCCCTCCTCCACTTCTTCTCTCGCGAGAACTTGAAACTTAAGTTTTTCCAAGTAAGAACACCCAGCCAGGTTATACCTTTCACAATACAGTAAAGTAATCGTTATGTCAGTAATTAATTCCGCATTTGGTGCTATCAACTATGATATTCCTCTCTGTGACTCCACAGTTCCAAAAGGTAAGAAAATAAAAAAGGGCCACTGTGTTGAATTAATCTCTTTTTTTTTTAATTTCTAGAAAAAATTATATATTATAAAATAAAAAGTGATCAAGTGGGTGGGATAGGTTTGCTATATATGCTAGCTAGACTGAGCCGTATAGGAAAGGGATTTGCATGACTGTTGGCTTAATTAGGTGGAAGTCATTCCAATTCCCAAAGGACTAGGCGTTTGCAACACGCTCTCCTTCAAGCCTTCAAGGGTCAAAGTCAGCCCCATATAGCCTTCTGCCACATGACAAAGAAAGGCCCTTTCTCAGGCCTTTCTAAAGGAAATTTGAGTTACTTTCAGAGGGGGACCGCTTCCATGGTCGGAGACCTTTCTGATTAGTTTTTGTTAGGTCTCATTACAAAAAAAACAGGGTTTTTACGACGTTACCTGAACGTCGTCGAAAGCTATCCAAACGTCGTGGTAAGTTTTCGACGACATATGTGAAAACGTCGCAATATTTAGTTTTGCGAAAACTTTCCGCAACGTTTATAAAATAATCAAGGACGTTTGACAAATGTCACGAATCAAATGTTTTCAAGGACGTTTATAAAATAATCATCGCCTTAACACTTCCATTTCAAAATTTTAGTAACAAAGCATTGGACATGCCAAGCCTCCCACCTTAAACAACTTAGGAATCTTTTATAGAGCTTAATGAAGATTTTTTTAACAACGTACAAAAGTGGAAATCAGAGGAAAAAAATATCAATGGATTTAAAATTACAAAGGAAGAGAATTATAATATATTTAGTTAAAGGGTAAATTATAAAGACCCCCCTTGTACTATGGGGTCAGTGACAACGCCCCCTGTACTTTTTTTAAAATAAAGACCCCTCTGAATTTTAGCCATTAGACAAAGACCCCATTCCATTAACATAAAAAATTTCGTCTGACTGTTTAAAGTTTTTAAAATGTCCAAAGTACCCCTTTTATACTGTTCATTGTCTTCTCCATTGAAGTTAGGTGAAATGATTACAATAAAAACAACGGTTTTGAAACATTCAATAGAGAACATTAACGGAATAAAGGGGTTTGTGTTGATAAGACGAGATAGGAACTAATTAATAAGCTCCGAGGTGCACCAGCAAGGGCACCGGAACTCACCCTTGTAAATCTTCTTGTAAATGGCCAATGATGTTTTGATCATGGAAGGGAAGATAACCAGCAATTAAAACAAACAAAATCACTTTGGCAAGAAAAAGAAAAAAGTTTAGTGGGTATTTTGGTAATTTAATGCTTTCCGTCATCTGACTTAACGGCCAAGTGGGTCTTTGTAAACAAATTAATGACAATATTTTCAAACTTGGTTTATAACAAAGTTTTTCAAATATGAACCAAATTTAGGCCTTATTTGTTTGTACTTTGTGCTTTGTACTTTTAACAGTACTAAAGTACAAAGTATGTGGTATATTTTTTGTTTCGTTCTTTCACTTTTAAAATTAATTTAGATGACATTTTTCAAAAAACATATTTTTCAGAGTAAGATCAAATTATGACATTTAGACATAACAAAATATTCTCTGTGTGTATGCCACGTGACATCTGAATGTAAATCAATAATATGCAAATGCCACATGGCATTTGATTACATATCACGTGATAACATAAATGAATGTCACATGATATACAATTATCATTATGTTCAAATGCCATGAGACATTCATATATACCACATGGCACTTGAAAGGATAAAAAAACATTAATGTGCCTATACTTTTACGTGACATTTATATATACTTTCACGTGATTCGATGTATAAACACACTTCAAAGGATCAAAAAACATGTAGTATCAAAAGTTGATTTCGTGCTTTTCATATTTTTTATACTTTTAGTTCATGATTTTTAAAAATAAAAAATAGGTCAAACAAATTTGTTCATGTACTTTTTGTACTTTCATATATGTTTTCAAACATATAATAAATACTTTGAAAAGTACTAACAGGGCCTTAATATATACTATATAAATGTTACGTATGTATGCATATAAAGAAACACTATAAATTAAATAGTTTAAGCAATTAAACTAACATAGTAAAACAAAACCGACGAGGCGTTTAAAGATAAAGATTTTCTTTCAAAGGTGACTCGAAAGCTTGTAAAGAACACAATCGTTACTGTTTAAAAAAAAAAAAAAAAAGCTTTTTTACAATAACTTTACGTGAAGTACTTTTGTCAACTAAGGTCACTTTGTCTTTCCTTTTCTTATCTAGTTATGTTTTAAATATCAGAGTTGAGTGGATTGACGTAGGACTTCCCTACATACATACGGACCACGCCATTAATCTGCGCTATGAGGAATGTCGTACGTGTATGGGTATTGAGTAATGACTCGATTCAAAAAAATAAAAAAGAGTAATGACTCAATTGTTTCGGACCAAGCATTACATGCATATTATAAATATAACTCCAAACTCTAGCTAATAATATGATTAATTTATTCGCTAATCGATAAGAAGAATTTTCCACGGCCAAATGAGGTATGGTTTATACGCTACACTAGACCGATTTTCTCTCCATTCTGTAGGCATTTGATGGACTCTTAACCCTGTGTTCGGTTTGAAAGATTACTTTTTCCTACCTTTTCTTTCAAACCAAACACAGCTTAAATCTCCGAAACTCAACCCAACATCTGATTCGATTATTTTTGAATTGACATAACTCATATCTTAGAACCTGCATACAAGATTTCTGAATAAAATCAAATTCAAATTTTAATTAAGTTTTAGGTGGTGTTTGGTAATGTTTAACATCTGAAAAACTTGTTTTTAAGATGGCATTTGTGGTTAGATCCGAACACAAACTCCGATAAGGTAAAATAGGTCTAAAATGGTAAAACATGGCTCAGTCACTTAACGTGGTGATCACTGATCAGGGGTGTTTTAAAGCCTAGCCAAAGTCCTAAATGCCACAAAAACTTTTCAAAATAACTTGTATTGCCCCTTCTCTTAAACCCAATCCAAGCCTAATTTGAGTTATTTCCCCTCTTAAAAAAAGTAGCAGAACACTATTGATCCACCGTTATCATCTGTGTTGCATGTTGTTGAATAAGCATTGTAGGCACTAATGGTGATTGATGAGGGCGGATTTGGCCCTCCAAATGACATTGTAACACATGGCATCTTGGAACAACTAGGTGACACTCGGAACCACTTATATAATAATTTGTCTTAGTCAAGCTGATGGCGTCCCAACTGGCGACCTGGCAACCTGGCACAAGCGCCGAATTGGCAGCCTGGCATAGGTGCCGAACTGGCGGCCTAGCACAAGCGCCGACCTGGCAACCTGCGAGACGTGCTCGCCAACAAATTCGACATGCATATCCTAACACTCCCACGATCCTTGGAAGTTGGCCCACGTACCGAATGTTCCGGAGGGTGGTCAACGTGCATGGCGGTTGCCTCCAAGAATCTCGGACCACTTAGGCGACCTCTCAGAAATCTCGGATGCGATGCGTGAAGCCCACGCCAAACAATGCCTATATAAAGGCACCAACCCCAATGGCATAGGGGGGCAAGTATGCATATTCTAGCTCTCATACTTCATGATTTTTAGCTCACAGTCTACTATGAGAGTATTGACTTAAGCATCGGAGTGACCTCGCTGAGTTAGCCACCCCGGGTCCTCTGACATTGATTCCTTGCAGGTCTCTAAAGAACTATTAAGCTCAACAATCAATCCAGCTCTCCATCAGTCAGCTTGGCCATCTGGTCAGCTCGTTACCTAATAGGCAGCTCGGCCCTCTGGACAACTCGACACCTAATAGGCAGTTCGGCACTCTGGACAGCTCGGCACCTAATAGACAGCTCGGCACTCTGGTCAGCTCGGCACCTAATAGGCAGCTCGGCACTCTGGTCAGCTCGTCACCGAATAGGCAGCTTGACACTCTGGTCAGCTCAGCACCTAATAGGCAGCTCGACACTTTGGTCAGCTCGTCACCTAATAGGCAGCTTGGCACCTAATAGGCAGCTCGACACTCTGGTCAGCTCGTCACCTAATATGCAGCTTGGCCCAGTCAGTTCGGCACCTAACCTGCCCAGCTCGACCAAGTCAGTTCGGCACCTAACATGCCCACTCGGTCCAGTCAGTTTGGCACCTAACCTGCCCAGCTCGGCACCTAATCTGTCCCCAGCTCGGCTTGGTCAACTCGGCATTCAAGTCCTCATCCAGCAGAAGTTCTCCACTTCAGTCTCTGAATCATCGGCCACTTGAAAGCAGACCAAATGACGAGGTACTTAACCAAAAAATTGATTCATCAATGATGATGTTTTGTGACGTTTTAGAGTTGAAGAAGAACAGTGGCTCTACTATATTTTGTTAACTAAGAAGGAGGCCGAGGAGAAAAGTGATAGGAAGGGAGATAGAAGAATAGTGAGAAGGAAAATTGGGGGGAGGGGGGATCAATAGTTTGGGAGGAGAGAGAGAGAGAGGCTGTCAATGGTTTAGGTTTTTCCATTTGCCACCAGTCAGTCAGCAGATATTGGAATGGCACCCCAATACAAATGGAATTATATTTCCGAAGGTTTTAAAAAGTAGAAAAGCATATTTATCACTTTTTAGACTTTAGACCTGAAAAATAGCTATTTAACTTATCAGACATCAAACTTTCTCCCATATAAGTAATAGAAGCTTTCTAAGATTTACAAAAAAAACTTTATCCAATATATAGTTTCCTCCATCATGTGTCTCACTTATTCTAACCCAATTCTCCTACGGTGCTCCACTTGCCTCTTCTTATATCATCAGTACTTAATGGTATAACAGAATGGGTACCACCTTCTTGTGTAATTAATCGATCTTAATTTCTTTT